GTAAGAACACTTAGGGTGAGTCATGCTCTCTTAACTATCGAAGAACTAAACACTAGTGACAGTAAGTACTATGTTTTACAGCAGAACTCTAGAATTTATCTTTTGTAACTAAAAATTTACAGACATTGAACAACTTTCTGTCTTCCATACCTCTCTTGGCCCTGGAAGCCTCTGTTGTACTCTGTGCTTTTGCAAGTTTAATATAGTAGATTGTACCTACAACTTTTGGAGGAAAAACAAAAGGAGAAATTATTTGACATTGATCTTGGCAGTGGTTTCTGGACTTGAGACCCAAAGCAAAGGAAACAAAAGCAAAAGCAGAGAAGTGGAGCTACATAAAACTAAAGCACTTCTGTGAAGTAAAGAAAAACATCAGCAGAAGGAAAAGCTATGAAATGAATCACTTTCTATACTTTCCTTTTTTACCTGTTGAATGGCTTTATTGAGATATAATGTACATACTGCATAATTCACTCAAAGTATATACTTTAATTAATTGTAGTTCTATAATCACAGTTGTACAGCTATTATCACTACCCAAATTGAGGTTGTTTTTAATGACCTTGAAAAGAAACTCCAGAAGAATTAAAATTTACCCCATTCCTCCTCCAATTCCACCAGCCCCAGGCAACCATTAATCTATTTTTGCCTCTATAGATTTATCTATTCTGGATGCTTCATATAAATGGGATCACATACTAGTTGGACTTTTATAATGGGCTTCTTTCACTTTCACAGTTTTTGCAAGTTGCCCATGTTGTGGTGTTACCACTACTTAACCTTCCTGTATTCCCTGGAATAGATCACCCACCTTCACTAATCAGTAGTCAGACATTTGAATTGATTCCAACTTCCGGCTACAAAACTCTGTGCACACATTTTTGTGTGGACACACACTTTCACTTCACATTGGCATGCACTTTGGAATAAAAGCCTGCGCTGCTTGTCATCTGACTTTTTGGTTGCAGCCATCCTTGTGTATGAAGCAGTAGCCTGAGCTTTTGATTTTCATTACTATAGGGCTTAATCATCTCAAATATCTTGGCATAGTTTATTGCCTATTTTAATATATTGTTTAGGGAAATTATCTCCTTTATTTTTTTCTGCTACTAGGTTTTGAACCCTGTGATTCAGGATAGAATGTCCTTATATTTTTTATTTTGAGGCAGGATCTTACTGTGTTCCCCAAGTAGTCTTCAGTTTTACAGTCCTTTTGTCTGAGACTCCCAAGTACCTAAAATTATAGGGGTATACCACCACACTCAGCCTCTTACCCCATTTCTAATTATGCCACTTATCATTTGCTCATTGATCTGTAAGGGTTTTGTGTATAGTCACCCTGCTGGATCTGGGAGACAGGTTCAAGGACTCTTGAGGATGGTGAAATTTGATAATTCTGAAATTCTTTATTAAGTTTAAATACAAGCTACATACATCTCATGTACTTGTATCTCCAGATAATTTATAATATCTAGTACAATGTAACTATCATGTAAACCCCTGTTGTATTGTATTGTTTAGGAAATAATGGCAAGAAATGGAAGTCTACTCATGTGCTACTTTTCTAGATGGATTTCTACTTGTAGTTAGTTGGATTCATGAATGGAGAGCATCTAATTTAGTTGTATATCCCTTGTCAGACATTTTCTTTGCAAATGCCTTCTTTCATTCTGTAGGTTTTCTTTACCTTTTCATCATACAGCACTTTGTAGGACAATTTCCTCATCTTTGTTGAATCTAATTTATTATTTGTTTCCATTGCTTGTGATGTTGATTTTGCGTCTAAAAGGCTTTGCTGATCATGAAATAACATGACTGCACTGCAGCTTTGTAAGCACATTGCATGTTTTATGTCTTAAATTTAGCTCATCGATCTATTTAGAGTTCGTTTTTGCACAGGGCGCAGGAAAAGGTCTGATCTCATTCTTTTGCAAGTGGCTACCCTGACATCAAGCCCCATTCCTTGAAAGCAGTTCTTTCCCCTACTGAATAGCCTTGCCTGCCTTTTCAAAAGCTGGCTGACCACAGGTATGTGGGCTTAATTACTGAGTCTCCTGTCTTTCCCATTAACCTCATTGCTGTACCTTTTCATTAAATTTTGAAACCAAGAAGTGTGAATTGTACAAGTATGTTACTTCATAGGGATGTTTTTGTTGTAATTGAGCTCTTGAATTTTCACATGAATTTTGACATTAACCTGTCAATTTCGGCAACAAGGATAACAGAAACAGCAACAAAAACATCTTGAGCATTTGACACAGATTACTGGTAAATATTCCAATCCATGAACAAGGGATTAATTTTGTTTATTGGGTTCTTAAGTGTATGTGCATTCTTGTTAGACTAAATCTATATTCTTCATCATAACTAAGATATCTTCAGATCTCCTTTCTTATGTAGATCTTCTATCTATTAAGATAGAAATAGGTGAATCTTGTACATCTTTGAGTGAACTTAAGGACTGTAAAGTTGACGAATCACCTTCTTTATATAGAAGGCTTGATTATGTATTAAAAAGAATGAGTTTACATTTTCTGTTGATTTGTGAGTGTTTCTCATGTATAAGCTATTGGAAAAAATCACCAGTGAAACAAAAGATTTTGAAACCTAGACTTAAATGCATAACATGTTATTTCTGACAAGAAAAGTATAAAAGTACCCATGTATTAAAATCATACATATGAAGAAAGTGTGCTAATTTATAACAATGGCCGATAATCTTTAATGAGAAACATCAAGTGGAGAAGGGGGCCAGAACTCTCTTTTTTCATGAAAGCATTTTCACGTATCTCTTGCATATTGTAAATATAAAAACAGGAAATCAAACTGAGCCTCAGTGAATGAGTG